GAAGCAAAGGTAACCAAACAAGTTATTGTCCCTTTCTCAATTGAAAGATACAATGATGAAGTCTTTTATGACGTGGTGCCCATGAGTGCAAGCCACATCATATTAGGACGTCCTTGGAAATTTGACAAGAAGGCTGCTCATGATGGATTTTCCAATAAGTATTCTTTCCAACATCAAGGAAAGAAAATCATATTGGCACCTCTACTTCCAAGTCAAGTTCATGAATTTCAAGTGACCCTTAAGTCATGTATAGAAGAATGGGAGAAGGAAAAGAAGGCCAAAGAAAGTCACACTCAGAAGATGAACATATACGCCAGTAGGGGAGATGTTCAGAAACATTTATCGACCAAGAAGGCTATACTTATACTTATGTATAAGGAAGGTTTCCTACTTACTAACCCTCCTGAAGGTTTGCCTTCTTCTGTCTCTAATCTTTTCCAAGAATTTGAAGATATGTTCCCTGAAGAAATTCCAGACGGATTACCACCAATTAGAGGAATTGAACATCAAATTGATTTCATTCCTGAAGCCACCATTCCTAATAGACCAGCGTACAGAAGCAATCCCGATGAAACAAAGGAATTACAAAGGCAAGTCAAAGAACTACTAGATAAAGGATATATTCGGGAAAGTTTAAGTCCTTGTGTTGTACCAGTTTTGTTGGTGCCAAAGAAAGATGGAACTTGGAGAATGTGTGTGGATTGTAGGGTTGTAAACCAGATCACTATCAAATATAAGCACCCTATACCTCAATTGGATGATATGCTTGATGAACTTCATGGAGCCAGTATCTTCTTCAAAATTGACTTGAAAAGTGGCTACCATCAAATTAGAATGAATGAAGGTGACGAGTGGAAAACCGCATTCAAGACTAAACAAGTTTTGTATGAGTGGTTAGTCATGCCTTTTGGCTTAACTAATGCCCCTAGTACCATTATGCGTATGATGAACCATGTTCTTCGGCCTTACATTGGTAAGTTTTGTGTTGTTTATTTTGATGATATCTTGATATACAGTAAGTCATTGAGCGAGCATGTTGAACATTTAAGATATATTATTAGCACTTTAAGAGAAGAGTACTTATATGCTAATCTCAAGAAGTCTGCTTTTTGTACTAACCAAGTTACCTTCTTAGGCTTCATTGTAAGTTCACAGGGACTAGCGGTGGATCCAGAAAAGATTAAGGCAATTCAAGAATGGCCAAAACCTATCAACATCAGTCAAGTCTAGAGTTTCCATGGATTAGCCAGTTTTTATAGGAGGTTTGTACCAAACTTTAGTTCTATTTTCGCCCCCTTAACAGGGATTATTAAGAAGAATTCAAACTTCTCTTGGGGCAAAGAACAAGATGTTGCATTCAACGAAATCAAGGATTGTTTGACAAAGGCTTCATTATTAGCCTTGCCAAATTTTGAAAAAGATATTTGAAGTTGAATGTGATGCCTCCAGAATTGGGATTGATGCTGTTTTGAGTCAAGAAGGGAAGCCAATCACTTACTTTAGTGAAAAACTAAATGGTGCAACCTTGAACTATCCAACATATGACAAAGAAATGTATGCACTTATTCGGGCATTGGAGACTTGGCAGCACTACTTATTGCCAAGGGAATTTGTTATACACACTGACCATGAGGCGTTAAAGCATATCAAAGGACAACACAAACTCAACAAGAGACATGCCAAAATTCCTTGAGTCTTTTCCCTATGTCATCCACTATAAGAAAAGAAAAGATAATATTGTAGCAGATGCTCTTTCACACAGGTATGTTTTACTTAACACTTTGGATTCCAAACTTCTTGGTTTTTCATTCATCAAAGAACATTATGCTACTGATTTGGACTTTGGAGAAAGGTACAAGTTATGTGAAACAAGTGCTCATGACAAATACTATCAGCATGATGGATATATTTTCAAGGAAGGGAGACTTTGTATCCCATAAGGTTCCATGAGAGAAGTATTAACCAAAGAAGCACATGAGAGGGGACTTTTGGGACACTTTGGCGTTGAAAATACACTTAGTATCTTGAAAGAACACCTTTTTTGGCCAAAGATGAAAATGTATGATGAAAAGGTATGTGAAAGGTGCTTAGTGTGTAAAAAGGAGAAATCAAGAGTCATTCCTCATGGATTATACATGCCTTTACCGATACCAACCATGCCATGGGTAGATATCTATATAGATTTTGTTTTGGGTTTACCTAAAACCAAGAGTGGAAATGATTCAATATATGTGGTGGTTGATAGGTTCTCTAAGATGGCTCATTTTATACCATGTAACAAAACTGATGATGCTATTCATGTTGCAAACTTATTCTTCAGAGAAGTGGTAAGGTTACAGGACTTTCTCGAACCATTGTTTCGGATAGAGATGTCAAATTCTTAAGCCACTTTTGAAGGACTTTGTGGAGTAAAGTTGGCACAAAATTACTTTTCTCTACTACATGTCAACCTCAAACAGATGGACAAACTAAAGTAGTTAATAGAGTGTTGTCAACATTACTTAGATCCATCATCAAGAAGAACATCAAGATTTGGGAAGAATGCCTAGCACACGTGGAGTTTGCTTACAACCGAACAATTCATTCAGCAACCAAATATTCTCCATTTGAGGTAGTGTATGGTTTCAATCCTTTAACTTCTTTGGACTTACTTCTTTTACCTTGTGATCAAATAGTGAACAAATATGGAAATGATAAGGTAAAATTTATTAAAAGACTCCATCAGCAAGTCAAGGACAATATTGAAAGAAGAACTAGAAAATATGAACAACAAGCAAACAAGGGATGGAAGAAGATAACTTTTGAAGTAGGTGATTGGGTTTGGGTAAACTTTAGAAAAGAAAGGTTCCCAAATCAAAGAAAGTTCAAACTATTACCCCGAGGAGATGCCCATTTCAAATTGTGGAAAAGATCAAGGACAATACATATAAACTGGAGTTGCCCAGTGAGTTTGGTGGCGTAAGTGCTTCATTCAACATCTCAGACTTATCACCCTATGAGGATGGAAATGATTTGGGGGAAAATCACTTAAAAGAAGGGGGATGATGTGATCACAACCACTTTGGATCCAGAAGTCATGCCACAAGGTCCCATTACTGGATCAAGGGCCAAACAATTCAGGAAAGTACTCTTAACTAAGTGTCTTGAAGCTTTCGATTCATTTGACAACTTGACACCATCCAATGTTAAATTGTATAATCTTTTAATAGCTAAAGAATAACTTAGCATGTACACATCTTTACAATAGATTCACATTTTTATTTAAAGCATGTTAGAATAAGTCTTGCATTCATATTAAGCATGATTCATTACATTTAAGAAATAACATCATACTTCTCATTTATTTGATTAGCTCATATACATTCATTTCAGCTCTTAGACCTTATACATTAGCTCACATATAGTATATGATGAAATACTTAGCTCATGTCATGCAATCATAGTTCAGAATACCATAATCATACACGGCAGCAAGGTAATTAGCTCATACAAGCTCAATGTCATTGAATTACCTTGTTTCTTTGCACATGTAGATGCATTGGAGCATGGAACACGTTGGGACAACTTGGTGGAGTATTTGGAAGCTATATGCAGCTCACAATCAGCTCACAAATATCATGGTAGCTCGTGGAACACTAAGGAAAGTTCAACTCAGCTAGAGGAGCTCAAGGCTAGCTAATCTTAGCTAGTTGGACTATTTGAAGATAAGTTGCTAAAGTTGACATTAAGTGTAGCTAAATGTAGCTGAATGAGATGATATGAAACTTGGAAGGTCACAGCTAAGGAGTTCATTCACCACCAGCATTAACATCGATAGCTAGCTAAGAACATGCAAGCTTAAAGGTAGCTCAAGTCACTCCCAAGGCTGCTACCATGCTTGGCCTTCATCCTATGCATAAGGTTGCACCACAAGCATCCTAGAGAGCCATGTTCATGCCTTGTGACCAGCCAAGACATATGCTATACGTGTGACTCCATTTAGGCGCCAAGATGAATGGCCACCTATCCATTCGACCAAGCATCATTTCCTCTCCAATTTGGCGCCAACTTGAAAGGATTCAAGTGTTATTCGGCCATGAGACATGCCCCTCCATTCCAACCGAACCAGCACCTCATTATTCATGTATTTATTAATTAAATTATGTCATTATAAGGAGACATAAGGGCTGGTTGAACCACTATGTACCTATTCGGCCAAGTCCCTTCAAAAACTATAAATAGGCTAGTCCTATTTCATTTGTATACACACCTTTCGTATAATTAAAAAGTGAGATTATTCTCTTTACTTAATTCATTGTGACTTTTATCGACTTATCAAGTAATTTATTACTTGTGGCGTCAATCTCCTTTCCTTTGATACTTGTGGTTCCTATCTCCATATAGATAGTGAGTCCAAGTCCTTGTTACTACCCCTTAAAGAAGAAATATAAAGTCTAGTCTTTGTTCTTTAACATTGGTTCTTCTTTGAGTCTTCTTTAAGATAATACCCTCACAACCTTCCATTGTTTCATCAACCAAACCATAGCCATAACAACATACTTCCGCTACCATTTCTCATATCATAAATAACCTACCATTTCACCTTTACATCTACCACCAAACCATCCATTTGAGCCATTCACTTATGCAAGTTTTTTTTGCTTCCTTCCTGGATCCACAATCAATCAACAAGGTATGACTACCTTATATCATACTCCATAAGTTTTAGCCTACTAGTACTAATCCTTGAAGTGACATTTATAATAATGATAAATGTAGTATTCATTTACCTTGCATATAATATAATATATTTCATTTTCTTTGTTGGCCCCTTCATTGATTATCATCTAATCCATCATTTCACAATAGAATATTGGAATAGATGGAGAGATTTTCAGAAATGGTCACCTCTTTTATTTCAACCATTAAAAATAGTTGGAGACATTTACATTTCAGTCATCGAAATAAGAACATAAATTGGGTTAACAAGGCACACCAAGTCCCAATAATAAATTTAAGACATGGATGAAGTGAAGCTGCTTGGAACATGGCCAAGTCCTTTATATTATAGAGTTGTTTGGGCCTTGAAATTCAAAGGTATAGCATACAAGTTCATAGAAGATTTGACCAACAAAAGTCCCCTTCTTCTCCACTATAGTCCAGTTCACAAGAAGATACCAGTATTGTTACATGGAGGAAACTCAATTTGTGAGTCTATGATTATTCTTGAATATATCCAACAGATTTGCCCACAAAATTCTTTGCTTCCAACTCATCCTTATGGTAGAGCCGTCGATCATTTTTGGATTAAATTTACCGACGAAAAGGTAAAACCATTCGGCTTTACTTGTAAAATTCACATATTATATCGAGTCTTGTTATATTTTGACCTAAAATTTAATTAAGTTAGATTTTTGGTGTAATTCTAATGATCAGAGATTGTTTGATAGTTAAGTTTTTATTTGATAGTAAAATCTTATTGCAGACGAAAAATGTTATGAAATTAGGTTTCTTGATTACCAAGTATTTGATTTGATTGAATATGCATTAGTTTTTAGAATTATGGAAGAAAATTATTTTAAAGAGATATAATCATTTTTTAGATCTCTTGGGATTTATGTTACAAAGATAATTTTGTAGGAATGTTGTCAAAGTGATTTAGATCACTCATATTAATATATATCTATCAGGTTGCGGGATACATGTCATATTATGTATTTGTGATCTCTATGTTTATAATAGATTATTGCTCTTTTCATCTGTGAAGGTAAACAAGATTGAACTACGTTCAATCTTGCCTCTTGTATATTTTTTTCTATGTTGATATCGCTTTAATTATTTGTTCGTTCCTAAATTTTGACTAAGACGTTCTATGAAATGCCTAATAGGCTCCAGCAATATGGATGGGTTTTAGAAGTAGTGGAGAAGAACAAAAGAAGGCGGTTGAGGATAGCCTGGAAATGCTACAAATGATTGAAGAGCATGCGGTTGGAATGAAGTCATTGTTTGGGGGAGATGAGATTTACAAGGTGGATATAGCTTTTGGTCAACTTATGTGGTTACAATTGATTGAAGATGTAACAGGTGTTAAGCTACTGGAAGCTACCAATTTCCCTCGTTTACAAAGATGGTTCCATAACTTCAAACAAGTCCCGGTAATCAAAGCAAACCTCCCTGATTACCAACACATGTTTGGTTTCTTCAAGAGGAGCAGGGAAATACCATTCCATTCCCACTCATTGCTTTGTAGTTTTCTCATCTTCTTCTTCTTTTCTAGGGAAAAAAAATGCAGAAATCATTTCTTACACATTGGCACAAGGTTTTTTTTTTTACCGTAAATGAATGAAATTTGAATAGAATGTAGAAATCAGCTTTTGAAAGCTGCACTCACTTGATTAGTGTCTTTATTTCTTCATTTTTTAGAATGTTTAATTAACTAATGATTTTATCAGTAGATATGTTGTTTGTCAGTGTATTGATATATCGTTAATTGTGTATTTATAACTTTTGAAAGTTGCTAATGATATGATTAATGTCTTTATTTTTTTCTTTTCTTTTTGGTAAAGTACATAAACGGTCTCCAACAATAGGATATTGCTTTATTGAGTCCATCGACTGTTAAAAGCTAAAAAATGATCTCTCGACTATATAGTGTTGCTTAGTTGAGTCCCTCGACTATTAAAAGTTATAAAATGGTCACCCAACAATTCATATTATTCCAAACTCGTCCTTTCTGTTAAAAAACTAACTATTATCTGAGTTGGACGTTAATATGTTGACTGAGATATGATATTCATTTGAGATTATGAGATCAAATTTTATTATATTTCAGTCAGGAAGTTAATATCCAGTTTAGACTACCGTCAATTTTGTAACGGAAAATGATTAGTTTGGAACATAATGAATAGTCGGTTGACCATTTTGTTACAACTCAACAAAGCAACACCCTATAGTCGGAAGATCATCTTATAACTTTTAATAGTAAAGGGACTCAGCAAAGCAATATCTTATAGTTAGGGGACCATTTGTGTATTGTAGCTTTTTTTTAAAATAGAAATCGCTAATCTTATTAAAAAGTGAAAATATCTAAAATTACAATAAGCATTTACAATTATCATCATAAACTAAATACATAATTCACGACATTTTCCTATAACATTGACACAAGAAACTAGTCACTTTAGATCAAATGAGGATCGTACATAGAAAATGTTAAAAACCCAACCAAAATACTCAAACATAAATAGATATGAACAAATGTGACTGCACCAGCAAATAAACCACAAAAGGGGATAAGTTATTGAAAGATCACCAACAACTGCAAATCAGAGTCGAGCGTCGTGAGAGACTATTCATGAACACAAAATCGCATATTCAAATTCAATATGAGGATCTAGAGCAGGGAAGATCAACAGGATTATAAATAAGTGCATCTTGATCAGTCATGACGTCGTCAAATCCAACATTGGTATAACATATATAAAATAAAAATAGCGTCCAAACGATCGAGAAAGAAGACAAAAAAACATGTCACAATGATAGGAAAAAAAACATACCACAAATGTAGAATTATTCTTATCAAAAATAAAAAAAGAAACAAAGAAAAAAAAGATCCGACAGTCAATGACTAACATCAAAATCGATGTCGCCGTCAGTTAAACAGAATTATTTATAAATTAATCCGATCTAGAGGAAGGAACACAAACTCTATTTTATTTTCTTGAACGTATGATCAATTAATGATTATATTAGTAATATGTTGTTTGACATTATACTTCTTCTACTTATTTATTAATCAAACATTTATCTTTTTTTCTCTCTTCTTTTTTTTAATGCTTTTTAATCTGAAAATTTTCAAAACATTGAGCTCATGGCATAAAACTGGACTTGGACATGTCAACACGACATGCTTCTTATCTTGGCCATACCACTTATATCTGAACAATTAAAACGGAAACACCAACACTACAGCAAAAAAGATCATTTGCAGCGTTTTTTTACTTATAGCGGCGTTTTTAAGCACCGCTAAAAATGTTTGCGGCGATATAAAAACGCCGCAAGAAGCGTCGGGTAAACTAGCACCGCTAAAGTTCACGGCATTTGATAACAACAAATGCCGCAATAGGTGAAGAGATATAGCAGCGTTTGTGCGATAAACGCCGTAAAAGGTTGAGATATATACCGGCGTTTTTTGGATACAAACGCCGCAAAAGTTATGGTATATAGCGACATTTTTTTATACAAACGCCGCAGATTATCTAAACTTTTTGTGGCGTTTTTATGTAAAACGTCGGTATTGTTTGTGTTATTTAGCGGTGTTTTTTATTACAAACGCAGCTAATGAACACAGCATTGCGAACAATTTTTTTTTTTTGAGTACCCCAAATCTATTTTTTTCAACATGTTCCATTATCCAACAAACATGACATCTATAACAACAAACTCTATTTCCATAACAACCAACATCAAATCCATTATAGTAAATAAAAGTTTACATTAACGTAATAGTAATGTAGTTAAACATTGTTTAGTAACATTAACAAAACATATAACATAAATAAGTCCTAAGATGGTGGATTTTGAGGTTGCGTTTTCTGTATCATCTGCATCATAGCTTCTAGTCGATTTTCAAATTCTTTACATTTCTGTTGATATGCTGCTTCTCTCTCTGTTTTTGTTGCTTTCCTCGCTTCATTTTCGGATTTCATGTTAGCCATTTGTTGATCCATTTCAGCCAACTTTTGTTTTAAATGACTAACCTCTAATTGGGAAGACTGAGACTGTGATGACATGTACTGAGATGAACTGGAACCAAAATAATTGGTGGGAGTAATGAATGATCCTTGACAGCGAACTCGGCCATATTTTTTAAGACCCAAAACGTCATTAATAGCTTGATTTTCAATGTCATCCACATTAACAAGACCATGGCTCGAAGTCGTAGCTTCATATTCCACCCTTTTCTCCCTTAATTTTTCCTAATAATAAAGTAAATAATTAATTCAAATAAAAATGTCATACTATAGATATAAATAAAACATAATTCAAATCCTCTATCCAACAAACGTACCATAATTTATGTAAGTTCAACAGTCATAGGAGTGTCATCCTTTTTTGTATGTGTCATGTCGAAGAGTTTGATTCGCCAACTTTAGAACCAGCTGTATTTTCCTACTATGTACCATAATATAATTAATTTGAGTTAGTATGTACATGGAATACAAATAACTATGTGAATAATCTATAATACCTCGTCATTAGCTATACAAGCAAAGCTCTTCAATTCAGCTGTGTGCATAAACTTTTGTTGTTGCCTGCTAGCAACACCAACATGCTCTTGGTCCTACAATTTCAAACAACCATTTATAAAGTCAATATTATAATTCATTAAAATTATTTTTGAAAAATAAGTCATACATGTCCTTTTTGTGAACTCCAAAATCTGATTGTATCTTCCCATTGATACCTGAGCATTCCAGGTGGGATAGTTTGTAGCTTTTCTTCAAGGCTGAGATCATTCTTGAAGTATTTCTTTTTTAATGAGCTCTTGTGGTCTCTTCATCTCTTCCCTAACACTTGCTTCAAATAATCATCAGAGACCTCTAAAGAAAATTTCTCCTATACAACAAATAAGTGTTCAAAGTAAGTATAAATTACTATTGAATTATTATAGAGTATCTATTCTAATGACATTATTACCTTACCAAAATCCAAAGCCTGATTTTTGTTACTATTAGGCATTTCGTGCCATGACTCATAATAGATCGATAAAAGATTAGCATTACGTCCAACTATGCCTAAGTAACTGGATAGAAGACGTGCTTCTAGGCCAATAGGTTAACCAACATCTTTCTTGAAACTTTGACACGGTGTCCAGGAGGAAGTTGGTATAATTTCTTCAATGTTTTACATCATCTAGTCTTGCATGTTCCAGCATTTTCAACTATATAAGAAATTATTAAATGTCAGTTTTCAAAATGAACAAACTATTAAATGAAGTGTCGAACATTACCTTGAATTTCTACAACTTCTTCAACAGTTATAGGAACTTCCGAAGAGTCAAAAGCATTCAATTCCTCATTATTTGTTTTTTCATGCTCTTTAGAAGCTCGAACAATCCGCAAATCACTTATTTTTCTCCTTGGCATGATATTTGTAATAAACAAACAACATTTTTAGTAAGAAAATAGTTTAATTATTAGCATTTAAAGAGAGAGGTTTACTCAAATGCAGTGGGAAATGGAAGAAATTTGGTATAAATCATTGGAAATGGAGTTGAAGTTGAATCCTAAACAAGTAAAGCATTTAACCCCCTTTAACCTTGAAATATATTCTTCTTTATAACTGCCACATGAGTACGCATGCATGGCATTGATGTTTTGTGCATATATTTGTCAATTAAGGTAAATGATGAACTTGGCCTGATAAAACTATGCATGGACTGGAATAACTTAAACTTGGTGATTGTGTCCCTAAATGTTTAATGTATTTGCTTCCATTAAAAGTCTACCCGATAGTTGAAGTTTTAGTAGTTACCCGAGAAATGTATTTGGAAAATTAACTGCCAATGCTTCCCCTTGGACAAGCATTGCAAATATTTTCTGATTGCCTAGAATACAAATTTGAGGCAATTTCTACCTCAAAAAAGTAATGCATAATTGCATATGTTTTAGTGTTCACTAATAAAAATACAACTTGAGACAGGTTGAGATACAAATAACAGAGACAACTAACCATTCTGCTGCTAAGGAGAAAGATGAAATGTTGCAAGAGTTAAATGCTACTAAGGAACAACTGAACATTATCTCAAAGCAATACGAAGAGCTAGAGACTAAATTAAAGGCATATATTAAACTTCTTGTTAAGGAGTTAAAGTCTCTTAGGAAATTTGAAAAAGAAGTGAAGCAGGAGGTTGGTCAATCACTATCAAAAGTATCTAAGGTCGAGGTAAATTTTATACTAAAGCATTTGTTTTCTTCACTATACATTCAAAGGAGTGGTCAAAGCAAACCATTGCTAACAGATTTATTCCTTGGTATTTGCAGGTAGAGCAAGAACATGAAAGACAAATTAGCAAGCATATGACTGCTAGAGAAAAGATGCTAAATGAATGTTGGTTTCTTCACAATAGCCTTCTTGAGTGCAACATCAATTTTTCCACAGATGATGATGAAAATTTAATAAAAGATTCTTAGTTGAAGACTAAATTAAGAACATGTTTTTTCCTGATTTGAAAACCATGTTTTCTAGGGTATCAGTAACAACCACTTTCATAGGTTCTTAATTATCCTCAGGAACATGGAAAATACTTTAGGGACTGGGGTTCTATTCACTAGAAATCCTAGCACTGGTGAAAAGAAGTTGTACGGCGTACCTGATATTGAGCGTCAAGGAT